CCCTAGAAATGTATTCTGTACTACATACACGTGGTTGGAGCCTGCCTGACATTCGGAGTAGGGGCCATTTATATGCTGGTTCAGACCGTCCTATCCTACCTGATGCAGCCAGAACTCCACAGCAAAGACGTCTTTTGGGTCCGTCTGACCGTGTTACTCTGGAGTTGTTCGAGCATTGTGAGCAGTATCCTTTTGCTGTGTCACTGTAAAACAGAGCAGCCTTCCCCAAGGATGGGATTTGCATCTACGTTAATTTAACCTACCAGTAAGTTAATTGAAGTACCAAGTGAAAGGCTGTGCCACAGAAGGCCTGTCATCTTCACACGTACAGCTTTGTATCATGCTGCCTATTCATACTCTGAGTTACAACCTGGGAACTTCAGGAAGACTGGAACCATCAGGTTAAGCCCACAAGTGAGTCACTGGATAATGAAAAAAGAGGGATGGTTACCACCCTTTCTCCTCTCCTTCTGCACACCAGAGACTGGAGATGGCAAAATAAGAGTTTATCACAAAGAGGTCTGCCTGTAGATTATGAAAGATGGGGAGAAAGCAAAGTGTACTTAAAAGAAGGGTGGTTTTAATGGGGGAGGGGGGGAGGGCGAGGAGGGGAAAGCCAGGTAAGAAATAAAAATGCCTGTTTGCTGGTGACAGGAATTTTGCAGCAAGTTGTATAGTTGGATACAACTAAAAGAGAAGTACAGAAAGAGAAAATACTACTAACATACCACTAACATTGCTGCAGCATAAGAGAAGATACAACTAACCCAACCAGTGCTGCACCGTGCCAGCTGGCTCCCAGAGCAAGTTTAAAGTGCTGGAATTTGTCATACAGACAATTCTGGAGCATATTGTGAGGCTGAATCAGAAGAGACTTTTGACCTCTGGTTTCCTCCCCTGACCATCCCAGAGTTCAAAAGACAAGACATTTCTGGACAGCATTCCCTACAACCTTCCCTTGGCTCTGGAATCCATCATCTCCCTTAACTTTGAATTCTGAGTGCTGGAAGCAGCTCTGAGTTTTAGAAATCCAGGCAAACCAACCCAGAAAGAGAGGCCATTTTCCTGTCCAGAGTCATTTAACAATCAGGGAACCACAAGGGTTCCTCTGTTCACCCCGATGGATGTAAACATTGTATTTTGAAAATTATTACTCAGTTTTGTGTCAAAACAGCACTACAACACTAAAGCTTTTGAATTTACATTCCAAAGACATGAGTGCAAAAATCAACTGTTTAAGTGCTGTCCCTTCTGCAGCTGAATCAAGGCCACTGATTTAATCCCCACCAATTCAACTTATTTCCAGGCTGGCAGCCAAAACCAACACTAGACCACACGCCCCATTTCCCAGTGATGGAGCATCTCACTGAGCTCCCATTTGTGCTACTGCAAAATTAGATAATCTGTACCAGTCAGACAAGAAACGATAGTCAGGGCACAGACTAGTTCTCTGTAAAGAGGCGAGAAGGACCTTCACCTGCTGAGGAGGTTTGACACAGAGCAAGGAAGTCATCAGTGAAACTTAGAGAATTGCCATCCCCAGCAGAAATGTTTGGTGCTAGCAAAGAACAAGATTATCAGCTTTGAACAGTTAAGAGCCAAATACAATTAGGGAAGACTAAAATGGAACAACATGATCTGCTGCAAGTTAAGAGCCTTTTACAGATGCCAAAAACCCACAAACCCCAAAACTCTAGAGGTTTTTGAACTAGTGTGGTCTAACCAAAATGAGAGGGAAGTTAAACCAGTAGAAATAATGACATCTACATTTATATATATAGAAGGGGAAGAAAAGGGAAATTGTCAGAGTATTTTCTAAATTAACAGCTCAGAATGTGATAAGGGAAAGACGGTAACAGGGAGAAGTCTGTGGCCATATGTGAAATGGTTGCAATTGGTACTGGAGGACAGAAGGAAACACACATTTTCTATCAGCAGTAGGGTGGCCAGCAGGACCAGGGCAGTGATGATCCCCGTGTCCTGGGCACTGGTGAGGCTGCAGCTCGAGTGCTGGGTTCAGTGTTGGGCCCCTGACTCCAAGAAGGACATGGAGGTGCTGGAGCGTGTCCAGAGAAGGGAACGGAGCTGGGGAAGGGTCTGGAGCACAAGTGTGCTGAGTTCCCTTGTGGCTGAGGGAACTGGGGGTGTTGAGCCTGGAGAAAAGCAGGCTGAGGGGAGACCTTCTGGCTCTGTCCAACTCCCTGCAAGGAGGGTGGAGAGAGGTGGGGGTGGGTCTGTTCAACCAAGGAACAAGGGACAGGACAAGAGGAAATGGGCTCCAGTTGTGGCCAGGGCAGTTGAGATGGGATGTGAGGAAGAATCTCTTTGCTGAAAGGGTTCTGAGGCATTGGAAGGGGTTGCCCAGGGCAGTGGTGGAGTCCCCATCCCTGGAGGGATTTAAAAGACATGTAGATGTGGGGCTTAGGGACATAGTGCAGTGGTAGACTCAGCAGTGTTGGGTTTTTGGTTGGACTTGATGATCTTAAAGGTCTTTTCCAAACTAAATAATTCTAAAAATACTTTTGATTCTCTGCTGGTGTGAAACAACAGAAAGAGCAAAGCAGTTAATTACCCGCTCTGTAACGAGGGGAGGATGGGAGCCAGTTATTTTTGTATTGGGATGATTAAATTATTTCCATTGCAGTAGTAACCCAGGCGGGTAACTAGCAGCTACTAAAGCTGTACATTTTAATTAGCAGAGAATTGAGTATCTTGCAGTCAGATCAGTAACCAGAGCTCTCTGGACCACTCACATCAATTTTTTAATTAGCTTTGGAAGAGCGGGTTTTCAAAGCCATGTTTGTGCCAGTAAGTTCAGCCTTGTTCACCACCAAAATTAATCTTTGACATCAGGAGGCTCTTGATGTTTCATCTCATTAACAATTGAAGAAGTTAATATCTTAATCATGTGAAAATCAGATCTTCTTTAACTTACTGTTCCAAGTTTCATTTATACAGGCAGCAGCACTGATGTAGCGTACCTTCCCTCTGCAAGATGTTGAAAAAGTGACATCTCCAGAAAGAACCCAGGTCTCTGATCAAATGAGGAATCATTGTCATGTGAGGTTTTCCTTGGCTGCTGTACCAAAGCAGTTATCAAACCCTGAGTGAACTAAGAGGGAAACAGAAGAGCTAATAACCCTCTTTGCTGCAAATGATACAGTATTCTAACCTGTAACCCACATATCAAGAATTCAAGGTGACTGAGAAGTTGAAAAGCAATCAAGAGAAAAAGGTCTAGACGCTATTAGCCTGGAAAATATCACTAAAAAATAAAATAAATCAAAATGCCAAGGACGTATTCACATTTGATCACAGTTTAAATGCTTTCATAAGGATGCTCTGATTGATCAAGAAGGTATAACAAGATTCAGCATGTGGAGAACAAAGATAATCAGTTGAGATTAGAATTAAGCTTTTCACGTGACAGTAACTAGTCAGTTGGAACAACCTACAAGTTGAAGGGAATGATGTGAAGCAGCCCCTGTCACCATCGCTCTTCTTTATGTTGAAGAGACCTTGGTAAACACTCAGAGATCTCCTTACAGCCTCAGCAAGACAATGCAGAGCCGAGTCTGACGTTTCCAAGTTGCTCAATCTTGGTCTTGAATCTTCCTTAACATGTTTCTTTACAGTGTTTATTTCCTCAGTTGTCCTATACAGCGGCCGCTATGGAACAGATCTAGTGCAGAAATTGCACTGGGACCCACGGGAAGAAGTAAGTGATTGAGCAAAGGAAACAGAACAAAAACCAGCTCCATCATTTGCCGTGACAAATGCATCTGGGCACTTGGTGCAGTTGTGTGCGCGTCCTTGGGATGGGAGAGCGTGCGTGAGCTTTACCAGTTGGGCCAGCATGCAGCTGAAGTACCGCTCTGAGCAAAACAGTTGCAGCTTTAAGGGTTATTTTAAATTCATCTCGCTCACGGGTGGTAATTGAACTGTGTCAACGAGTTGTCACACAACCAGCCCGTCTGCTCTGTGCTGGGCAGCGACTCCGTGTCCCTGTTAGACGATAACTGTAAATAATGACCGTCCCGTGCCAGCGGGCTGCACGAAGCGGGGTTCCTGCTGCCAGACAGGTGGAGTTGGGAGGAGAAAAAGGCCAAAGGATACAGGTGATAGAGCGGCCAGTGAAGTGGTGAGTGCTCCCCAGTGAGAGATCCCAAGTGGGACAGAGAAAGGACATGTAGGTCTTAGCAGCTCTGCCTGCTGCCCTGTCCCTCCTCATCCTCTCCAGGCACTGCTGGAGGTGTGGCACTTACTGGAGGAACTATTACACAGGCTGGTTTTTAGGCCTTTTCCCACCTCTCCATTTATTTAAAGCAGAAGGAGTCTCTCAGAAGTCTGTGTACATCCAAGGGCCTTGAACCTTATTTTTGTAGAGAGGTTTTGCTGTTGGTCATGCCAAGCTCTTGACTGAGCCTTCAGGTTTTGCAAGTGGACATGAAATTCCCAGTAGGGGTCATCCCAGTTGTGCAGACCGAGTGTTTTCCTGGTCAGTCTCAGTCTTCTGCTGAGTTCAGCACTTCATTCTTAGAGACTCCAGACACACTAAGGAATTTTGCTCTCCAAAGGGAATAGTTGATGTGGGATGTTCAAGCCACCTCTGTGCTCCTGCAGGTTCAAGAGGAGCATCTCATACTGATATTTTTTTTTTCCTCTCTCACACAGGGCTACACAGCTCACATCATCAGCACTGTCTCAGAGTGGTCATTAGCATTCTCCTTCCTCAGCTTTTTTCTCACCTATATCCGTGATTTTCAGGTAAAATGAAGTTAATGTTCAGTGCTCTGCTTCTCCAAGCTCTAGATAGCCTGACATGACGCAAGATGGGCTGCCTTCTGTTGTCAGCTGTCAAGGCTGGAAGACCTGTAGCATGAACAGCACTGAGCAGTCCTGTCTCCTCAGTAGGATCTGCCCCTCCTGTGTTACACACCCCCCAGCATCTGAACAGCTTTGACAGCTTCACTTGCAAGCTCTGTCACAGACACAGGGGACATTTGCTCTGGGATTGCAAGGCACATGATGGAGTCAGTCCAGGAGAGCAGCTTGGGAGTCAGGCTGATCATTCTGGAGCCAACCTGCATTTCGATCTGTCACCTGACTAGTGAAATTGCCCATGCTGAGCCGGTGACAAGCCTGCTAACTTGAATTTCCTTTCCTTTTCCCTATATAGAAAATTTCCCTGCGTGCGGTTGTCAGCTTGCACGGACAAACCCTTTACAACACACCGCAGAGCTTTGTGCCTGATGAGCAGACACTGCTGATAGCGGGGAGCATCTAATGAAGGTGAAGAGAACATGTTCTCAGCATAACTCAGGAATTTAATAGCAATAACAGTTGATATTTCTAAGCATTTATTTTATATATAAAAAATATGAAGTGATTGTATTGTACTTGACATAAAGGGCTTTGCAATTAACCCACACAGCAATGCAAATGTTACCAGTATTGTAAACAAGCCTGTAACATTTCTACACATCAACGTCATGAAAGAATTAAATGAAGGTTATTAAAGAGTTGTGTCTCCTCATCGCTTCCCCCACACCCAATTCTGCCTCTCCCCTTCCCTCTTCTCCCCAGTGTTCCTCAGGCCAAGTCCTTTTGGATGCACAGAGTCCCCAGCCCAGAGCTGGGCTCTATCCTCACCCTCCCACACCTGCAGCTCCTTCCTTGGGGCTGCCCCATGACCTGCACACTATGCCACAGTGGAAGGACCCCAAAGCCACCTCATCCTTTGAGCAGCTCACAGGACAGCCCTCTACACACCACAGCTTGCTGCAGAGGACAGGAGACAGCCGATAGCTCGACCAGCTCCTCTCCTGCTGGAAGGGCAGCCGTGTGTTTGCTCCTGGAGAGCAGCAGCAAGGAGCAGCAGCAGGAACTGTGCAGGCTGATCCAGGGTCAAACCACTCTGCTCTTAATTTCTTCTTCCTTCCTCCCCGCCCTCTTCCTGGCAGTTATTTCAGCTGATGGACAGGTTCATCGAAGAGTTCATGTGTAGACTGTCCCTATTGCACAAGTCTAGGAAGACTCAGACCATGCAGCCCATGTCGTCACTCAAGGGGGAAGCTCTGACTCAAGCACAGAGCGGAGCATGACTTGTGTCCTCGTAGCCTCGATGTCCCCAGTGCTCCCCTGAGACAGTCTCCAGCCCAAGTGCCAGCTGCTCATTCCTCTTGCTGCATCCCAGAGTTCTCGTGTGGTGTTGCCAGCCCTGAACCTGACCTTGCAGCTTGTCAGGGTGCTCTGGAGGTTGAGCTCCACCAGGCTTTCAGTGCTGGACACTCCAGTTGTGTGTCAGGGTGTTTACACTGAGTGCTCTCATAGGGATGACCTCCCACACATGGGAGTCATGTCCAGAACAAGCCAGAAGCCTTAAAAATACACATTTGCTCGAGTTCTACCGCAGTATAGCAAAGTAACAGGATATTTGATTACAGACAGACTGACAGAACCCATCATCAACAGCTGCCTTTGAGCCCTACTTAGGAGGAACAGCTCAACTTCCTTCCAAATGATTGCTCAAGTCCACAGCTAATTAAGCTCCAACATGTTTCCTCCCACACCAAAACAGCTTACACTGGCATCTTCCCTTCCCTGGAGGGGCAGGTAAAGGACCAGCAGAGGAATGTAAGTTGGAGGCCTCCTGGAAATCACAGCAGCTGCCCTGGGCAACTTTCTCCCAGATTAAAACAGGGTTTCTCCATCACAGTTGTGCTTTATTTGCACTTGCAGCCTCGTTCAGCCCAGAATTCAGACAGTTCACATGGTAAAAACAAGCTTTGGAGCCAAAAACCTGCCAAACTACTGATGCCAGTGGAGTCAGAGGACAAGTAGATATGATTAACGTGGAGTCACAGAGACCCCCAAGGGCTCTAGGGCTTGGGGAAGATTTACCCAAGTATTATATTTTTAGCTGCTGATAAATCCCTAAGGATCAGGGCCTCCCTGGAGAGCTGTGCACTTGGCTCCACACTCTCTAATGAGACAACAGACAAACCTCAGTTTCTGGATAACTGCTACAGCCTAGAAAACATGACGTTTCACCTGACAGAAACCCCTTTTCTACACTTTATTTAATTCTCATAAGGCAAACGGCTTAACCAGGAGATTGTCACGACAGTGACGTGCTGCCCTGGGTTTGCAGAGCCCTCATCCCTGCTGGGAAGGAGGGAGAGAAGAGCCCTTTTCCTGGTAGGAACAGGGGAGAAACAAAAACCTCATTCATTCATTCCTGCAGCTTCTCAGGAAGGCTCTAGTAGGACCCTGCTGCCTCACAGGGCTTTTCTCTCCTTTCTCTTGGTGTCTGGTGTCACCTTCCCTTCATCTCTCTCTCCGGTGCATCCCTGTCAGGCACAGAGAGGTTCTTCCAGCCAACAAGCACCAGATGGGCTGTCCCCGGGAGCAGTTCCTCTTCAGAAAGCCCCAAATGTCTCTGTAGTAGCAGCACTCTGATGAGCCTGCTGCTGGCAGGGGGGTTGGAGCTGGATGATCTTTAAGGTCCCTTCCAACCCAAACCATTCTATGATAAGCCAGCCAAGACAGACCAATGCGTGAGAGGAGTCTGAGCTGTGGGAAGACTTCTGGGTTCTACCTAAATCAGCACATTCCCATTTGCAGTTAAAAAACCCACAGCCCCTCCCCCCAAACCTTCCTAATGCCCCCCACCTGCTCAGCAACACTTGTTGGGTTTCTTGCTTATTTGCAGATCCACAGAAATTCAACCTCAGTGCATCAAACTCTTCTGTTTAACAACCTCCTCAACTCTAGGAAAAGCCTCTTCCTCCTCTCTCCCCCTTTTCCAAAGGGACAGGGATGAGCAGCACCCAGGAACAGCTCCATACCTCTGACGGGCTGCTCCAAAGACACTTGCCCCCATTGCACCACTGCTGCTTTCTCCTCCTCCCCTCCAGTCCCATCAACACAGGAGATTGCTACTGAGGGGGCTGCTCAGTGTCCTGAGGGCTGGGCTGGGTCCTACCTCTCCTACTGAAGACCTTCCACAGCCAGTCCCCCTGAAGGAAGTTGGGCACCACCAGACTGTGCTGGCTGAAGAAATTTTGAAGACTCAGGCAATCAACTCAAGACTCTCAAGGATCTGCTTCCCTCACTGCTACAGGGCTACCAGGCTCCTCAGGGCATTAATATACTTTAATTGCCCTGACCAGCCTCACCTGGGACCTCCTCCCATGGCCCAGGAGCTCCATGTGAGCCCAGGCTTGAGCACCAAGTCCTGGCCTGAGCTATGTTGTGGGTAGACATGCCTTCAGTTCTGCCTCTGGCTTTATTTTGTGGATGGACTTCAGACCTAGACAGTAGGTAACTTTCCTCCAACCTGATCTCTTCCATGGACCTCAAATGTGCAGTCAGTCCTGTCTCCAGACCCATCTCCTGCTGCTCCTGACTGAATACCTTGGATGGACCCAGAACCTCGTTCATCATTTCACCTTGCCTGGGGCTGTTCATAGACCCTGTTGTCACCACCCTGCTCTGCCTGCCTGGCCCAGCTCCCTGGTTGATGAGGGCACTGCTTGTGCCCAGCTGACCCCCAGCTCATCCTTCCTTGGGGAGCAGCCCTACTCCTGCTGCTCCCTGACAAGGTGAGATGTTTCCAGTCAACTCCCATTGAGTCCACCAGCATTTCCTCATTTAGGAGTGGCTGCATTCATACTTCTTGTCCTTGCCACTTCCTGTGAACTTGTTCTTCCTCTACTGGCTGACCAATAAACTTGCAGGCTTGGGCTAGAGAAACTGCCACCTAAATGACACCAATGTCTTCTTGTGAGACCACAGCTGAAAACAGGGCTGACTTCCTCTTGATTACTCCTGAAATGAGCCCCACACCCGGCTGCAAGGACAGCAAGGATGGAGGCATCTGTCAACAGCAGTGGAGATGAAACATGCCAAGGAGTCACAGCCCTCTTGGGAAGACTGACTGGAATCCTAACATGAGACATCTATTAAAAATGGAAAAAAAAAATCTGCTAAAATGGCAACATCCAGCAGCCACTCAAATTCTTGGTGAATCTTCATCCTACCACCTGGACAGCTCAGGTTTGTCAGATGGTGTTAATCTTAAACACCACTTGTCAGGTGTGAGAGGTGGAGTACAAAAATGAGGATATATTTCCACCCAAAGCCAGCTTGGTGGGGGGGCAGCTTTGGTGAGAGAGAACGTGCAAGAAAGACCAAGTAGAAATACAATTTTTTTTTATTATGAGGTTGGTGAGACCCTGGCCCAGGTTGCCCAGAGAGGTGGTAGAAGCCCCATCCCTGGCAATATTCAAGGTCAGGTTGGACAGGGCTCTGAGCAACCTGATCTGGTTGAAGATGTCCCTGTCACTGCAGGGGGTTGGACTAGAGACCTTGAAATGTCCCTTCCAACCCAAACCATTCTATGATTCTAAAGGGAAAAAACCTACAGAGAACATGGCAAGGGCTGAGCGTTATCTTCAGGGAAGCGTGAGAAGATGGGGCAGGAGCTAGCTCGGAGCTTGTACTGTTACGCAAGGAAACTGTTCCAGCTGACTCATCCTTTATGCATTGAAACGAGGTCTTCATGGTATTATTCCTTTTATTATTATTATTATTTAAAGAAAAATTATTAGCAAATGAGGCCATCATCAATTAAACAAATTAATTAATTTAAAGGGTTAGCCCAAAATCTACACAAGTTGCTGGAGACTGTTCAGAGAGCAAATGCATGCCACCTAGCCCAAAAAGACTTGGAGAGGGAGGGGGACAGCCAGCATGGCTGGGTCAAGACAGCCATGAGATGTAGGGAAGAAAGCCTGGGATAAATGGAATTTGCATCCAAATGAGCAGCTGACTTATGACAACAAATGTGTTTTCAAACATCAGGAGGAAGGTGGCCAGAATGTTTTTAAGATCAAGGTATAAAATGAGTCTTCAAAGAAAAGTCTTATCAGAAGACATTGGTATCCATGACCAGCACGGAAGGGCCCAGAAAGGTTCCCATCCTTTCATCACAGGGAACTGACAGATGTGTCTGAAAATGACATGTGGGGGAGAAGTTTCAAAACAAACTGATGCACAGTCATGAGTTTGTGGATGAACAGGATTATACTCTCATGTTCAAACAAGAACCGTAAAGGAGTAACAGATTAAACAGGTGAAATAAGTTCTCATTGAGAACTGCTTCAGTACTGGAGGACAGGAGGGTGGCAAATACAAAACCAACTTTTTGAAGCAGTCCCAGGGATTACCATGGAGCTGTAAGAGCGGCACTTTCTCGTCCGTATCAATAAAACAGGTAGAAATTATAATAAAAGTCGAATAATGGAATAGCAACGCTGGACCGTGTAGGAAAATGCTGTGTCACTGCAGAACCAGGTAGTAAATTTCACTGGTAGATCTTATTGGAGAAGGTGATTTTATTTTAAATTAAAACCTTCCATCGCACTCGTAACCACAACCAAGGACAAAGGCAGGTGTGTCCACATGGTCTGGCCAGTAGCTCGGTGACAAGTCACCTGTATCCAGATGACTTGTCC